CCGAGGGTTGCGATCCCGTTGCCGGTCCCTGTCCGGTACGGGCGCGACACTGAGGGTTGCGATCTGTTGCCAGTCACGAAAAAAGACAAAAAGGAAAAAAAAAAATTTAAGTTGCTATCTGGCTGGTTAGCTCAGTTGGTCGGAACCTGGTATTAAAAGACCAAGGTTAAAGGTTCAGATCCCCATACTGACCAGCCACCAAAAAGCATTGAAAAGTTTTTATTATATTAAAAACTAATTTGGGCCGACCCCGTGGCGCACTTGGGAGAGTGCGGCGCTGGGAGCGCAGCTAGCGCTCCCGCCGCGGGTTCAGATCCTATATAGGGATGGCCAGTACGCTCACTGGCTGAGCGCAGTGTGGCCGGTCACAAAAAAGGACAAAAAAAAAAAAAAACTAATTTGGTTGATTTTTACATTAATAAACATACACAGCTTAGGGTCCCTAGGGAAAAATTCATTTGGCGTGTATGTTTATAAGCTCAAAACTAAAAGAGATATTTAAAGAGAATTTCAGTGGAAATCTTTCTAAAATTGGTTTTATTTTTTGAATACAGAAATCTGTATTGAATATATAAGGCAACATTTTGTTAGTGTGTACTTTATACTATGTTTGTTACTTATAAATTTTTGTTAGTCCCTCCTGTTTCCTAGTAGATGAGCTTTCAGACAGATAACCTGGCATGTTTGAATTTTCTGTAAAATAATAAATGACTCAGTAAAGTTCTGAAATTTTCTTTGGAATAAATAAAAACACTTAAAAATTAATGATATTTGCTTTGGCTATTCAAGGGCTTTATCTGTTTACTTTCTGGATCTTAAATATATACCAAATATGAGTTTTGGATAAATAAGGATTTATTATTATAATTATTTATTTATTGTCAGCAATTATTTTGTGGCTTTTTCATTTGATATAGGTGATTTCAAATCGGAGAAGTCTAATGGGGAGATCAGTGACTCTCCTGGAGCTGGAAGAGGAGCTTCTGGCTCAACTCGCATTATCACCAGATTGCGGAATCCAGATAGCAAACTTAGTCAAATGAAGAGCCAGCAGGTGGCAGCTGCAGCCCATGAAGCCAATAAATTATTTAAGGAGGGCAAGGAGGTGTGTTCTTTCTGTTTAAAATAAAAATGTCTGGAATGTGAAATAATTTTAATTACCATAACTTAAAAATAGGGGCAGAAAGTTTTAGATCTACTTTTGAATTGTATTTTCTCTATTTCCAAGAGTGTAGTGGGTAACAGGATAAAAAGTATTAGGCTTATATTCTAATAAGTATAGTGGCACGCCCAAACTTCAGTCCATGCATAGAAATGCTGTAAATGGGTGATATACTTTCTTACTACATGATCAGTTTTATTGTGTATATCATTTTAAAGAGATAAAGCCTGGGTTCAGATCCCCATACCGGCCAGCCACCAAAAAAATTAAATAAATAGAGAGATAAAGTGTTCTTTTTCACATGCGGTAATGAGTGGGCTATTTGTGGGCTTTATTATGGAGCTGTAGGTGATTTAATGCTCACTTCTAGTTGTGATCATTTCAGGTAAGCCTGCAGCTAAAGGATAGGGCCTACTCCTTGACAGCAGAGTACAGTGCTGAGGACAACACAGCATTCCAGCTCTGACTGTGCACAACAGGATTGAAGCTAGAACTCAGTATCTCTGCCCCCCAACTAGCTGTGGTGACAGAACAGTGACCACAACTCTGTCTCACAGATGTGAGAATTATTTGTAGGGTAGATTTGCAAGAATATATAATGTTCTGTTCTTAACATCGCAGCAATTGTTTTAAAGCAGTGGCTTTCAAGTTTCTCTTTGAGTCTACTTTGACCCTCTACTGAGGGTACACATTTTTTCTTAGCAACCTGGTATACACATTCAAAAGCTTCTTGAAATAGTATTTTACCTTACTATGTGGGAGGCACTCTGATATTTTCTCTTCTAGTCTAGTCTATTGTATTACATTTCATTTTTTTTAAACACTGAATAAGACCCGCTATTGATATCATATTCCACGAAGATGTTGGGATCTGCTGTTTGAAAACACTGTTTTAGAGTATCCAAGGGCTCTTATATTAAAGCTGGAATGATAAAAGAAGCAGAAGAAAGGGTATTTTGGGGAATATATTTTCTGGGGGATAGTACATATAATGCCCTCCTTTTTCCCTTAAATGTATGTTATAAACTTGAAATAATAGGTGAATGATTTACACATATAATTTCATGTGTAATTTGAAATACATGAAAGTACTCAATAGTGTCTCACATATAATAGGTTCTTAATAAATGTAAATGTTAATTTTCTTTTTTTTTTTACAGGCATATCTTGTTTAATTGTAAACAATTAGCTTTAGCGTTTAAACTTCAAAAGTTGTCATAAAATGTATCTTATTTGGCATTTTTTAAAGACAGTTGATCAGCCAAAATTTATATCTTTGACATGAATAATGGAGTCTTTATTTTCTTGGTAGGTACTGGTAGTCAACTCTCAAGGTGAAATTTCACGGTTGAGCACCAAAAAGGAAGTGGTCATGAAAGGAAATATCAACAATTATTTTAAATTGGGTCAAGAAGGGAAGTATCGCGTCTACCACAATCAATACTCCACCAATTCATTTGCTTTGAATAAGCACCAGCACAGAGAAGATCATGACAAGAGAAGGCATCTTGCACATAAGTTCTGTCTGACTCCAGCAGGAGAGTTCAAATGGAATGGTTCTGTCCATGGGTCCAAAGTTCTTACCATATCTACTCTGAGACTGACTATCACTCAACTAGAAAACAACATCCCTTCATCCTTTCTTCATCCCAATTGGGCTTCACACAGGTAGAGGATACTAAGGTTAATTTATTGCTATAAATATGCATAAGTTATTGTAGGTGTGCACTTTAACATGTTACTACTAATGAGTGAAGTCAGTTTGGGTCAGTGGACAGTGAGGAAGTTAGAGGTGTGAGTGTGCTTCTAAGTTACTGAACCAATACCACTACCGTTGGGAAGATTTCTAGGAAGCAGAGTCTTAATCTCTGGAATCAAGTGGAGGCCAGACAGAGTTCCAGAACTTTGTAGAAGATTTAAGGAGTTGGAGGACGAAATGACCTCTGGAATTCCTCCCCGTGTTTGAAATCTACTATTTTGTGAGGTAGAAACTTCTATTAGTGGTACATGTATATCTGATTAGCCTAGAAACACATACTATAAGATGAAGTCATCATACATCATAACTATTGTGCTTTTAATTTAAGATCAGCCAAGTGAAATAATTTCTTTCTTCTGAAATACAGGGCAAATTGGATCAAGGCAGTTCAGATGTGTAGCAAACCCAGAGAATTTGCATTGGCTTTAGCTATTTTGGAGTGTGCTGTTAAACCAGTTGTGATGCTGCCAATATGGCGGGAATCTTTAGGACATACCAGGTAAGTGAATTCTGAGTCCTGTAGTGATGAATCTTGGACTCCCTTTGAAATACTAGTCTGCTGATAATGAAAGTTAATGCATTTAAGAGGCCATATTAAAGACTTCACTTTTCTTGTCTTGATTTTCCACCTTTATAACATGTAAACATGAATGAACATTAGTTCTTATTAGTGATACAGGATTGTAATGAGGAGCGAAAGACGTCAGGTATATGATAATTTAAAATATTTTTCTAAAGTAAAAATGCATTTTTAATAAATAGAACACAAATTTTTTGAGTATTTATTCTAGAATGTTCCAGGTACTATGCTAGAGATCTGATTTACATTATTTTTTGTTTTACTATTATTATTATTATATTTTTGGCGGCTGGTCAACACGGGGACTCAAACCCTTAACCTTGGTTTTATCAGCACTGCATGCTAACGAACCAGGCGAACTAGATGTCCTAGGTAGATAAGTGACAAACTTCTAAGACTTGATCATAAGGAAATACCCAGAAATTCCAACAAATATTTAATCATAAAGATTTTTTAATTTCAGTAATGAAGCTTCAAGAGCAGTCTGAGTGTCTAATAGTAGCAGAATACTTTTTAAATAATGGTAAATTTTGATCTTTAGGGAGAAAATGATAATTTTTTTGTTGAAAAACCTTGAAGAATACCTTAAAAATGTATCCATATTCATGTATAGGGTAACCCAATATCTGGACAGTGTCAGTTTTCCTCCTGTTAATATATAAGTTAATTTGAATAACATTAAAAGTTTTAGCTGGGTTTTCTGTAGAACTTGACGAGATGATTCAAAACTTTATATGGAAAGGGTCAATAACAGAAAAAGGGTAAACTTGAAAGACGAAGTGGAAGGACTTGTCTTGCCAAGTAACAAGACTTTTTTTAAAGCTATAATAATATTTTGTATAGCTGCAAAGATAAACAGATAGACCAATGGTACAGAATGAAGAGTCCAGAAAGAGATACATATATGGAAATATAATATATGATAGAAGTAACATTTCAAAGGAAAGACTATTCAATAAAAGGTAATGGGGCAATTAGTTACCCATTGTGGTGGAAAATTGGATTCTCTTCTTTATACCATACACGAAAGTCAATTCCAGGTAGAGTAAATCCTACATATGAAAAGCACAACTGTAAAACTTCAAGTAGAATGTATAGGTGATTATCGTTATGAACCAGGAGTAAAGAATGTTCCCTCCTTCCTTCTTTCCTCCTTCACCTCCTCCTTTCTTTCTTCCTTCCCCTTTCCCTCTTCCCTGTCTTTCTTTCCTCATACCCTTTTCTTCTATGCTTTCTTCCTTTTCTCTCTCTCTTGATTGTTTTCTTTCCTTTCTGATTCATTCAGTATCTCCTGAGGGAGGCATTATTTTTTCCATTTATAAGCATGTTATCTACCAGGTGAGAATGAGTGTATATTTGTGTGTCTGCACATAATACAAGTAACTTTCCATTTTTATGTTTAATAAGTGATACATATGTAAGATTATATGTAGTATAAATGGGTAAAAATGGGTGATAATAAAAATGAACACCTGTGAATTCACCACATAACTAAAAAGTAAGAACATTACCATTTTTGCACCTGCTTTTCACTCACATTACCTTGCCTCTCCTGAGAGAGAACCACAATTTTTAAATTTGTGATTATGCCCTTCCTTTTACTACATAGTTTTATCACATACATATATATCAGTATACTGGATTGTTTTCTGTTGTTTTTGAGCTTTGTAATAATTTAACATCCTAGAAGACCGAGTCATGGACTAATTGATAGTATTTTTATTGTTTTATTATATTATAATCAAAAAAGGGTTAGTATCCACAATATATTCAAGAACTAATACAGTTCGATAAGAAGAAAAATCAAATCTTTTTAGTAGGAAAAAATGCCAAAGATGTAAACATAATTCACACAAGAGGAGACACAAATAGCCAAGGAAGATGAAAAGATGCTTAACCTCACTGGTCCATTGGAAAATACATATTAAAACCAGGGGCTGTTGTTTCATGTCCATCAGATTGCCAAAAATTTAAAGAGTGATGATGAAGATGTGACATACTGTGATACATTTCTGATAAGACAGCAATTAGTGTGATGGCTTCTATACCATTTTAGAGAACAGTTTGGTAAAAACAAAATTAAAAATGAAATTCTACTCCTGCCTAATACCATAGAGAAGCTCTTGCATGAGTACATGAGATACGTAGAAGAATGTTCCTTATAATATTGTTTTGTAATGGTAAAATTTGGAAACAATCTCTAAATGCCCATAATCAGGCAGGTTTAAATTGTGATATTTTCCTATAATGGATCACTTATATAGCAGTGAAAGACAGACTAGAGCAACAAGTGTCAATGAGATTGAACCTCATAATTGTACTCTGGAGGGAAACAATCCATCACTAAAAACACATGTAGCATGATTCCATTCGTGTAAAGATTAAAAAGAATGATTGGTAAAATAATATTACAATATTGTTTAGGGATTTAGACGTTTGTGGTAGAAGTTTAAGGAAATGCAAAGGCTGTATGCTTGAAACTTAATAAATACACTTCTAGGTAAATAACAAGGAAAAATCATAATGGAAACTAGAAAACATTTTTATCTGCATGTTTATGAAAGTACTACATATGTTAAAATTTGTGGGATGTAATTAAAGAGTTCCTAGGGGAAATTGGTAGCCTTCAATGTTTATATTAAAAAAGAAAAACTGAAATTAATTAGCTAGGTGTACATCTGAAAGAGTCAACCAAAAGAAGGGAAATATTAAAAGAGCAAATTTGATGAAATAGAAAAACAAACATACCATAGATGCCATTATAATTTACAAATCAACGGAAAAAACCAAGAAAGCCCAAATAACCAATACCAAGAATAAAAAAGGGTAGCAACTGAGTAAGCAGCTTGATTCCACTTGGTGGTTTTTTTTTTTTTTTTTTGGCCTCATCTGTATCTGTAAAGTGGAGGCAATAATAGCCTTCCTCATTGTGTTTGTGTGGTAAATAAATAAAGTGACATTTGTGAAGCACTGAGAACAGTGTCTGGCACATGGCAACACCATATGAGTATTTGGTAAATACATATTTTTCAAAAAATTAGACCAAGGAGTGTTATAGAGAATCAGTTTTATGTCTAGTAATTACACCAATTTCATAGACACAAATCTTAAAATGTCAGGGGTATCACTATGGGAGAAAAATGGTTGAAATTCTGGGGATCGCAACCCTCGGTGTCGCGCCCGTACCGGGGACCGGCAACGGATCGCAACCCTCGGTGTTGCGCCTGCACCACGCTCAGCCAGTGAGCGGGAACCAGTCTCCACATGGGATCCGAACCCTCAGCGGGAGCGCCGCCGCACTCCCAAGCGGTGCACTCTCCAGTGCGCCACCAGGCCGGCCCTCCACTTGGTTTTAAAAAAAAAAAAAAAGAAAAGAGAAAGTGAAGGGACATGCTACTTGGTATTTCTGATTCACTCTTACTAGCACTGAGGATTTTAAAGCCTTCATGGGCTCTGCTGACATACATCCACAGAAAGAGCCCACCAGGCTCCTTTTGGGTGTGACGGAGAGGCCACACTGATCTTACTTGTTAGACAGTAGGGCATAGGCCTCTCTCTTGGGCAGGGAAAGGGGCTGCTTCTGTTTATCACTGCATCTATCAGTAATGAAATGGGCAGGACCAGATGATTTCATAAGTAAGTTCTTCCTCAAATTTCAAGAACTGGATAATTCTGTTTAAACTCTTCCACCAGGGGCCGGCCCGGTGGCGCACTGCTACAGTGCGC